GTTGTTAAGTTTAAAGTGACGAGAAACGTACTAATTGTGGAACTACTGTGTACTAAAAGTTTGTTTCGAAGAAGAATAAACTGGTTTAATCAAGAAAGGACTTGTATCACTGAAGATCCTCTGAAAGAATTTCTACCGGAAACAAACAAACAAGCAGATACTTAACAGTGGGCAAGCATTTTGGGCTTATGTGCACGACGCTATCTATTGTTTATTTCCGCCTATTTCTGTTAAAAGCTAGAACGCTGAATATTCGAATGAAATTATAAGTGTTTAGAAATTGTACATGATAAATATATTCTATATTGATTACGTTCACAGGTTTTCTGATAAAATAGATATAAATAAATTATTTGTTTTGACAGGGGCATTTAAACTGTACGATTTAAATAACGATGGTTTCGTGAGCCACAATGAAATGCTCGATATCGTTACCGCCATCTATCGGTTACACGGGAGATTTTCTAACTCTATAGATGCCAGAGACGCAGCAGAACGACGAGTAAACCAGCTATTTGTGAAATTAGACAAGGTAACTAGCATAACGAGTATATCATTGATATTTATTTCAATATTAAAAGGTTTACTCTAAATATAATCAAACGTGAATTTCTTGAAATGAATACTATTCTGTTTATAAATAGGCTAAAATATCGTTATCGTTTCATTCCTGTTTCAGTTTGTATGAAATCAGAATAAATAATAATCCTTTCACTCAAAATGCACGCAAAAAAATGTAGTAACTGGCTAAATTTAAATATTATAATACAATTATCTGAATGTTTGTCGTTTCAGGACCGGGACGGAAAGATCAGTTGTAAAGAGTTTTGCAGTGGTTTCAAGAACGACTCGTTCATCGTTAGAGCTCTGGTATCAGACGATTTAACTGAAGGCACTTCACAAAGAACCACTCACGTCACGTGACCTTTCTCTCAGCGCACTCTATGAGCGTTTAATATTCACTTTTGTGAACGTGCATTGAAGAATATCTAATTCGTATTTTAGATCTTACGTGGTACATTAATTTTGTTTATTGATTTTAAACTTTCTAAGAAAATAAAGAAAAGAGCTGTGAAGATTAGGAAATATTTTTTTAGTCTTTTTTTTTTTGTTTGTTTTTGTTTTTACTTGTGGTAAATTCTTATTACAGCATAGGTCACCAGCACGAAATTTATCTAAACTCTATATAATTTACTCTTGAATGTCTAACTGCTTGAAATATTTATCTTGACAATAATGTTTGTTTTTTCTACTTATTCATTCTTTCGAAATTGTAAAATCTGGTAATTTATTAACATCAAATATTAATAATCAATATTGTATCAATTTATCCATTGTAAATATTCGCTAGCAAAGCCGAAAATGCGTATGTTTGTTAATGAAAATCAATAACAAATAAATATAGTTTTCACTTTTCTGACGACAGGTGATGTTTGGTCTGACTCGCTTATGTCACTCCGTACTTTTCTATTGATCGCTACCAAATTTCAAAGGCACCCTTAGGGCACGGTGGGGAGTGACATATGGGGGATCAGCGTTCGGTTTTGACCCCTACGTTACCTCACCTTCTTGAGGCCCCTGTGTGTTCCTCGTGCTATTCTATTAACTTTTACAAATCGAAGATACTCTTAAGTCAACCAGGGAAGAGACATAAGGAGGTCAGCGTTTGAACCTGGTTTCTCCAAACAGTTTGTCAAACGTTTAGTTATATTTTATCCCGTACTTCAAATTGTTTTCAGAGGTAGAAAATAGTTGTTTTCTACAAAAAAATTGGGTCATACAATAACATTAAAGAAAAAAAGAACCCAAAGAACTGACTTTAATGAAACGTAATTAACATTCCTCAGTATGTGTGTACGAACGTGTTGCCATAACAATTCCGTGTCCTGGAAAACAAAACATTCTTGCGAACATTTTTATGGAACAAATGCTTTCATTAAGAATGAAATCATTAAATTAATTTTAATTATAAAAAATAAATAAAACTGTGACAATTAACGAAAGATGTAAGCCTTACCTCCAATTTTCTTTCAAACTGCCCTCCCCGTGGACAGCAGTATGTCTGCGGAATTACAACACTAGAATCTGGGTTTCGATACTCGTGGTGGGCAGAGCACAGATAGCCCATTGTGTTGGTTTGTGCTTAGCTTCAAACAATCGAAGTAAATTTTAAAGTTTATTTTTGTATCTGCTATCACAATAGTTTGTTTACTTATTTCTAATACGTTTTTAGGGAAAAAACATAAAAACATCGTTTTTCCAAGTATTCGTTTCTGAAATTTTACAAGTAATTAAATCTCGTGCTTTTTAAGTTTAAGTTTTGTTTTCCTACACAATAAACTGCAACTCTTGTGCTAAGAAAAAAAAGCCCAGTTTCTCTTAATATTATACATTTAGTTCTTCGAAATTATATTTTTGTTGTCGTTATTAGTTCTTAACCCCCCCCCCCCAGTGGCACAGCAGTATGTCTGCGGGTTTACAACGCTAGAAACCGGGTTTCGATACCCATTTGCCTTGACATTTACAGGTTACAATCATACCATGCCACCCTTTCCTTACTGTATTATAATTAGGTAATAAATTGATGTAATTTACATGAATTGTACCTGGAGTTATTTTATATTATTAGAAATGGAAAGAGTTTCATAAAATAGAAATATTAATCACACTTTATGAATGCAAAAAAAATATGTTAAAATATTATTTTAAATTAATCGTAATTCATTTGAATTTCCTATAAAAGTAGTTGTATTGCCGAATAATAAAATTTTTAGCACACTTAGATTTTGAATTGTCAACGTGTTTTTATTTACTTATTCACATGTGTGTTGTTCTCAGGAGTTCCCCCAGGAGCGACAAGATAGGATCCACAGAACAACAGGAGATTTTAACAGGAGCTGAGCCTGAGAAAGAGAGAGAGACTAGACACAATGTAAATTGTACAGTGAAAAATATCTTTATTTAACACTCAGAGTTAAGAAAGTGCAAGGGACGAAAGACAGATCCTTTAATGAATAGTTAAGTCTTTAAACTCTCCAAGAACTTATTATGAGGCTTATTAAGAAGTAGCTAACTTTACTTATTAAACTTAGTAGAGTATTACTATTTTTAAAAAAAGAAAGTTACAGTTCACTTACCAAACTGAAGGCTTGTGAGAGATATAGAGGAAGCTGAGAGAGTATATCATTATATACAAAATGTTATAATACCATCCCTATCAAGGCGTGTGTGTACTACATATGTCACTGTTGGTCACACCCATTGGAAAATAATGGAGGTTATAATCTTAAGATGACCTACCAGTGGAAAAGATCACAGTCTACATTCACATAAAATTAAAAAAATATATACTGTCATATTTCCCTCAGAAAGACAAGGTGTTACTTTAGGTGAATGACCCAGAACAATGGGTAATTGGAGTGAAAGAAACTTAGTGACTTTCTTATAAAACATACCTAGATAAATGAAAAAAATTTTAAATTTCTACATTAACACAAGGGAGTTGTAAACACATGGTATGTTTGCATATCACATATCTATACATACAGTAATGGAAATAACTATGGAAACACACAAGCGATACATATATAGGAGTCACAAAGACAAGTAATGGTAACTACATAATGAATATATTAATGATTCAAAACACTATGACAGAAAACACAAAAGAAAAGCGAAAAATTTTAGGTAATTATATGTAATTAAATGATTAGGTAATTATAGGGCCAATACTCCAGTTAGCTATTCGAATAAATAAACAGAAAGAGAAATTCGCCCTGTATGGGAATTTACCTTCATTAAAATTTGATAAAAAAATAAACCATTAAAATTTGTGAAACAATTCTGTATCAGACTCTTTCCTTCTGGGACAAATTAAATGTATTCGTGTTTGACGTACAAATCATTGCATATTTCTTGTTATTGTGTTCTCATAAATTACCTGTTGGTCGAAGTTTTACCTAAGAATGCTACACTTATAACACCTGTAACTAAGTTTCATACACACGTCAATTATCATAAAACTACATACTTTTTGCAGGCAAACTTCAATATTTCAGCAAAAGATGGTATAACTATGGCCTGCTTGCCCTTCAATCTTTCTGTCATCAATACAAAAACTAGTATTCAATTTAGTTTTATTTTCTCTACTTCTTTCCCTACTGAAAGTTTCCTTGATTGGAATACAATCAGTAAAATCTTTTAAATATTGGGTAAATGATGAAAATAAATATATCTAGTTGTATTAGGTCGTCAAGAAATTAATGTCCTTTTTTTAGATGAAAAAACCCGAACAACTTATATATCAAAACAATACCTTT